TTATCTATTTTTGATGCATCAATACAAAATCTGAGGTACAAGTGTAATTTGTCACGATGACTCTGATCAAGTCAAAATGCTCCTTATTTTTGTCCAAAAACCAAGTGGAACAGGTGACAGTGTTGTCTTTACCTTAGATAAAACTGGATTAGAAAATTCAAATTATAACAAATGGTTAAGTCAGTAAAGACAAGACCTATTGTTAATGCAGACTTACCAAAATGGTTAAGTCAAAACAAACATGCGTTATGGAAAATGACAGAAAGCGGAATCTGTACAATGCTTTGACCTTGGCCAGGTCAAGAACATAAAGCTCGTAAAATGCACGAGTTTAGAGAATGAAATTTATTTGAGTTGTAACAATCACCGTTAAGGATGGGATAAACTCGGATAAAACTTAACAGGGAACTCGCAAAATGCACGGATTAAGAAAGTAAAACGTACCCCGGTTGTAACCCATCCTGGATGGAAACAGCTCGGACAACGTTTGAAATACGTGAAAATTACCTAAGTTATAAACTTAGATGACAAAGGCACAAGCCAATTTGTCAGAATGCAGAGAAATACTAAATCTCTAGAGGTATTCAATAAATGCTTCAGGCAACCATGACAGTCTATGAAAATTGAATACTTAGATAAATGCATCTACCGTAAGTTGAAAAATATAAAATGCAAGACGTCAAATGGTAAAGCGAAATATAACGACGTGAAAAAAGGCTCAAAGAGCAAATTAAAATCGGGGTAAAACCGGCAATATTCATTACAAATCAAAAATGGGCTTCAAAAGCCCCAAATAAAACTAAAAGTTACAAAGGTAACCGGCATCCCGAACCTTAATTGAGTTTTGCCAGCAGGAGGTTCTTCGAACACCACGATCACCTTAGGGGGTTGGTTACCTGCCTCGTCACCATCTTCAACGGTAGCACCCCTTCTCTCAGATTGAGTAATCGAGCCACCAGCGAGAGAGGCAGCAAGAGGTGGAATGATTTGGCCGTTGCTGACATATGCACGAGCATTTAAACCAACTATATTCAGAGGCACATCTGGATTAAGTACTTGGAGTTGGTTAAGGGCATTATAGAAGGAGCCGGTGACCGACTTCTCAAGTTCACCCCGGTAAAGTTGGGCATTACCCTCACCTTCCTTCAATCTCTCCTCCATTCTCTCATACATAATCCGGAAGTCCTTCATCCTTACGGGTTCGGCAGCTTGCTCGTCTCGAAACTTCCCAAGATTTTCCTTGGCCTTGACCAGCTCGGCAGCGGTTTGGTCATACTTCTCCTTCAGAGAGGACAAATCGTTCTTCACCTTCAGAAGCTCGGCATATGTCTTGGCCCTCTCCTCCAGGGATGCAGATGCCTCATTCAAGGAGCGAAGATAATTTTACTTTAGAGTCAGCAAAGGCCTCGCCAACCCGGCTATCTTCACACAGCAAAGGTCTAAATCTTCCACCTCCCTAATCTGAGCAGCGGTAAGAGCGGAGGAGTTGTAAAAGGACTCAGGAGCACATATCGCATCTCGGAGGACGCCGTTCATTCTGCCCTGCCACACCACGTGTTTCACAAGCTTGGGTGATAGCGGAGGAGGATGAGCTTTCATTACCTGCTGAGAAGAAGCAGAAGCACTGGCAGCAGCAGCGTCCACCTTGTTTATGGCACTGCCCGTAGTGGCATTTCCCTTAGCAGTCAACATCCTTTTTTGTTTGCCAGAGTTATCCTTCGAAAGCACAGACGCTTTCCTTTTTTTGTGCAAATCGGTAGGGTTTTCCTTTGACTGGTTCAAAACCAACAACTAGCTTAGGGGCTCACTTTGGGGGTTCTCCATGCTGGGTACTGCAAAGAAGAAGTAGTAAAATAAAGTCATCAAATGCAAACTTGGAAAAGTTTGCGACAAGGGATACCTCGAATGGTAATCCAACCTTTTCGTTCTGCTGGTTCACGGCCAGTTCGAGGGGTAATCGCTTGAAAAAAGAAAAAGAAAACATAGACGGGAGCGGGAAGAGTAAGGTAAGCGCAAAAACGCTCAAAAGCCTTAATGAAACCCCAACTATTTGGATGAAGTTGGGTGGGGGCTATCTGAAGGTGGTTCAAAAGATCTATTTGAAACTCGGTCAAAGGAGACCGGACGCCAAGCTGAGTTATGACATCCCGGTAAAAGAAAAAGAAGGGAGGCTCTCCAGAACTCCCACTACAACAAACTGGTTCGTCTTCTTGTGGGGGGATTATGTCATAATTATCTAACTCCCCAACGGGGAGACCAACCACATCACCCGAACTCATCTCGAACATTGTGTTTAAAACCTCGTAAGTTACCCAGGGAAACCGAGATACTAAAGAGGCTAGAAGAGACTCAAAAAATGACTCGGCAGAACTCGACTCTTCTACTACCTCTGGAGGAGGAGATGCCAGAAAACCTAAAACAAAGAAAAGAGCTGGATCAGAAGAAAATGAGCATACCTGAATAAAAAATGCTATCAGAAGAATCACTAGAAGATGACAAAGTCGGAAAGTCAGAGATCATGATTGGGTCATCTGCCCCACCAGATGCAGAGGTAGACCCCAGTATATCTCCTTGCCGGCAGCTAGCCAAAGTAGACTCGGCCAAAGAGTCACATCCTTGCTCGACAAGCTTGGAACTCAAGTAGACACAAGAATAACAAAGAACACTCCTTGGGAGGGGGAAAGAATGACAGAAATCCCGGACGGTGGACAAAGAACCAGGATGAATCATAGGTCTGCTAGAAGACTCAGACCCGAGTTGGGGAAATTAATGGGAAGCACGTCTGTTTGAAGTAAGACGACTCCTACCGCGGCTGTATGAACCTCTACCCCGGGGGGCCCTAACTCCCTATTAGACAACCCGGGCCTCCTCCGAGATCTACCACCACGGCAACCGTGAAGCATAACTTCACGTTCTTCCTCTTCGGTCCTTGGAATCCCCCAAAACCAGAAACGAGCACCAGGGGGAATCTTTTTCAAAAAATATGAATCTTCTTCCTTCTTCCTCTTACAACACAAAACTGAAGAAGGAGGGTTTGTCCCCCTCATTTGGTTAAAAAGCTAAATGACACTAAGATTTGAAATAACAAAGAAAGACGACAAAGGCAAGATGGTGAACACCAAAAAGCCAGAAGGGAAGCAATACACGACCCCCTAAAAGTGCAGATCGTGGGTATAACGAGAAAACAAAGAAAATCAACACAATGGCATATACTGGGCAAATAATTCAAGATTGAAAAAGCATGCTCAAGGACAGATGATCAAACGAAAGCATCTCCAAGCAGAAGCAACAAAAAACAAAGGGTGAGTGAAGTACCTGTCGAAAGGGATGAACTTGCAAGAATATGGAGAAATGCATTTGAGGTGCTGACACTCAAAGGAACTCAAGTCATTGCACTTGTAAGTGATAACCGCAACAATCATGAGTGCTAACCGCAGTCGTCCTGAATGGTAACTGTAGTAATCATGGGTTGTAACCACAGCAGTCGGGAATGGCAAAGGTCAGGGTCACCAGTGCCATTTCACTTCAAAAAGCAATGATTAGACACCTGAAACGACGCTGCTAATAAATATGCACGAAACACGAAAATGGCATAAAATGGCTGCGGCACGCTAAAGCACGCGACCAGTAGCACGTGTCAGAATGGAATGAGTACCACTCATAAACAAACAAATGAGACAGAATACATGCATACACAACTCTCAACCGGGTTAAACGCCTGATGCATGGGGGCAACTCGCCAGTTGGATCCTAACTACTCAAGCACATCCGTTACCCGGTTGCCTATGTAAAGTATTTCGCCGGGTTCATGCAAAACTCGTCGTCCATGCATCCAAAAGGAAATTCAAGACGTGTATAAGGTATGATGCTTGGGGGCAACCGCCAGTTGGATCCCAACTACTCAAGCACATTCCAAACTCGGCATAGTGATACATGAAAAGTTTTCTCGAGTTCACACTCAACCCGCCGAGATAAGGGGCAATGAGGACCCAATTTGGAAAGCACCCGGATCAAAGAATACGCAAGCGAGTTTACAAAAACTCAAACACACTCAGCCTAGCAAAAATCCTGAAGAGACGCACAAACAAATTCACCCCGGCAACCCGGATGCCCAGGTTGCCTGGCTGAGGAGCAACTGTTATAGACCCGTATAAGGGGCCCATTAAGTGATAGGCCCAATAAAGGGCTATCTAAGATACAAATCTAATGTAATCACGGATAGATATCCATCAAGGATACTGATAAGTGTCAAAGACACTATGTTTTTAAGGTTAAACATAATTCAAATAATAATTAATATGATTAAAAATATAGTGTTAGTTAATAAAATCTAAAGATATTAAAATACCAACAACTGGATAAGATTCTAATCTCTTTTCAGTTTGTTTCAGGTCTAAAATAACAAATTGCAATCAAGAAGGATAAAGGCAGTTGCAAAGGATAAGGATCAAGAAAAATAAAGAATTAATCAAAATTAATCCTCAGTGAGCCTGGTCCAAATTAAAAAGCCCATTTTTATTTCTATAAAAATGCAAGTTAGGGCTAATTCCATTAATTCTGGAACGCGAAGGAAAGTCAGAGACCGAGACAAAGCGAAGGAAGGAGCGAAAAAGAACACTGGATCGTTGCAGAGGAGAAGGAAGGAAACACTTCTGCATCATTGATCATCACTTTTAGACAAGTTTTATCACGAACTCAATTTCTTTTACTGCATATTTTAATTCTGTCTTTATGATTATGTCAGGCTAAATTAATTTTAGTAGTTAGGAAGATACAAAACAAATGATTCTTAGTTGATGTTTGTTTATTTCTTATGAATTACATTCTTGCTTTTGAATTATGCAAACAACTTCGAAATAAAAGCCTCCTTCCTGAATTTAATTCAAAGTAATCTATTTGAAGGAGACCCGATTGAAGACTCAAACCGCCATATTTCTAAATTCTTACAGTTGTGTAACCTCATTAAAGCTAATGGGGTACCTGCTGAGTCAATCCGACTGATGCTTTTTCCTTTCTCCTTAAAGGGAAGAGCACTTAATTGGTTAGAATTGCAACCTGCTGATAGCATCTCCACGTGGGAAGAATTAGTTGAAAAATTTCAAAATAAGTTTTTCCCACTCTCCCGATTCTCTGAGCTGAAAGAACATATTGGCAATTTCAAGCAGCTCGAAGGAGAATCCCTGTGTGTGGGAGGAAGAAGATTTAAAGAACTAATCAAGAGATGTTCGCAGTACGTTTTTTCGAATGGCGAGAAGGTCCGAATCTTTTACAAAGGAGTTACGTCAACATATAGAGTACTCCTTAATGCTGCAGCTGGAGGAAGCATCAGAGAAATTACTTCAACTAGAGCTGTTGAGTTAATTGAAAAGATGACATTTGAAGATAATGAAGTCACACCAATGCAACCTAAGAGAGGAGTTATGCAGTTAGAAGGGTATGACGCTATGTTAGCCAAACAAGACAAGATAGATCAAAGGTTAGATTCACTTGTTAAACTCTTTACCCAAAATCAAATCTCTGCGGTTAACTCTCAATTCCCTGTGGTATGCGACACTTGTGGCGGACCTCATAGTGCTGATAAATGTGAGGCTATGGTTACTATAAACCCAGCTCAGGTGAATTCTCTTTGGTACAACCAACGTAGGGAGAACAATCATTACTACAATACTTATAATACTGGCTGGAGAAACCACTCTGCGCTTTCGTATAATCAAGGAGGATCACAACAAGCTAATATGGGAATTCAACCAGAGCAATCTAGTCAAAAGGAAGCTTGGGAAATTGCATTCGAAAAGATGTCTCAAGCTCAAACAAGTTTTGTGGAAGAAACCAGAACATCTCTCAAAAATCAAGAAGCATCTATTAAAAATCTGGAAATTCATATTGGTCAGCTTGCCAAACAGATGGCTGAGAGGCCTCCAGGAACCTTTCCTAGTAATACAATTATTAATCCCAAGGAACAATGTAATGCCATCATTACAATGAAAAGTGTGGAAAAACCAATAGCCGCACCAAGTAGTGAAAAAGATGCAGAGAAGGAAAATCCTGCTGAAGAGAAAGCTGACGATCCTGTCGATAGAGATGTCTCGATTTTTGGAGGACCGTTAAATGATACCCCACATAAGAAAGTAATAAAGAAGCTTTCTTTAGAGGAAAGAATGAAAGCAGTTGGAGACAATCCTTATGTTAAGGCTCCTTATCCTCAGAGGTTACAACATAACGAGCAAAAGAAAAATTTCTCTAAATTCTTAGAGATTTTTAAGAAGCTGCACATCAATATCCCATTTGCGGAAGCTTTAGAGCAAATGCCATCATATGCTAAGTTTCTAAAAGAGATCCTAACCAAGAAGCGGAAGCTCACAGTAGAAGGATCCACTATCTTGACGGAGGAGTGTAGTGCAATCACGCAGAAGAATTTACCTCCAAAATTAAAGGATCCGAGGAGTTTTAGTATCCCTTGCACGATTGGCTCGATGACAATAGAGAGAGTTTTATGTGATCTGGGTGCTAGCATCAACGTAATGCCGTTATCTATGATGAAAAAGCTGGGAATCACAGAAGTGAAGCCAATCAATATGATCCTGCAACTAGCTGACCGCTCCACCAAGCAAGCATATGGAGTAATAGAGGACATACTAGTTAAGGTGGACAAGTTCATCTTCCCTATGGACTTTGTTATCTTGGATATAGAGGAGTATGCTACTGTTCCCATGATCTTTGGGAGACCTTTCTTAGCGACCTCCGGAGTACTAATTGATGTGCCTAAAGGTGAATTGATCTTATGGGTGGAAGGACAAAGGACTATTCTCAAAATGTTTAAAAAAGAAACTCCACCACCTACACCTCATCCAGAGAAAATTTTCTTTATTGAGGAAAAGAAGGTTGAAGAGGAAGAAAAGAAAGATCATAAGCCAGATGAGAGTTGCAAGCTGGAGGTGAAGATGGCAAATCTTAAGAGCAAGGGAAAGCACATTAAGACTAAGTATAGAGTTCTTGAGGCCAAACATTCTCGCCCATATGCACGAGAGTACTATTACGGCAAAGCAATATTTATGATAAAAGGAATGACATCATCTTTGAATTCTGGCTACAAGCTGCCATGACTAGTGAAGATATAACGTCAAGCTAATGACGTTAAACAAGCGCTCTTAGGAGGCAGCCTAAGAATTTATCGCTTTTAAGTTAATTATTTTAGTTTATTTTATGATGCCAGTAGATTTTATTTTCTAGAACCATTTTAGTTTTATTTTTCTTTTGTTTACCTGTTTTGATTAGTGATGACTATGGTGATGTACAAATTTTATTTTTCTCACTCTGTTATGAGCATGATGGCTACTATTGACTTTATCTGATGATATTTTTGAGTTGATATGTGCAGTTCTTTTTTTTGATTTATTAATTACTGAGGACAGCAAATGCTAAATCTGGGAATGGGGACGCACTGCACCATATATATATATATATATATATATATATATATATATAGTAGCCATAGTAGCAGTTGGTACAACTATGATCCCTGTGATGAGAAGAGCCACATTTTTTTAGAAAAACAGGGAAAATTCTTTTCCTTATTCCTCTTTATTTTATTGTGTTTCTTTTCTTTGTTTGGATTATGAAATCATGCTAAGTTAGAATTAGTCAGTAAAATTAATTTATGATGTGATGACTTAGAGTATATTTTATATTTTATGAATAAGCATTGATTGAGTTAGTCTAAGAGTCAGTAAGAATAATAAAATTATAGTATGAGTGATTGAGAAAGAGCATAAATACTGAATTGCACACATATAAACGTGAGATTTGAGCCTAAACAGAAAATTCTTTTCAGTGTGCATTTCACTGTTGAAAATATTAACAGAACTTGCTTTGTTTCTCCTTAAAATGGTTGTTTACATGCATGTTTAAAATGATTGAGGCATTTTATTGTTTTAGCTATACAGAACCAATAGTTCTTAGTTGATGTTTGTTTATTTCTTATGAATTACATTCTTGCTTTTGAATTATGCAATCAATCTGATATTTATGATTAGTTTTATTTATGATTTGATCACTCGTAGATAAACATATGAGTCATATATGACAATAGAGATGTTGATATATGATTCTGATTGGTTGATTGCTGGAATTGGCATGATCTAGGAATAGACTTGTGGATTTTATAATTGTGAGTTCTTGCGTTAATGCTTATTTTATGAAAAAGTACTAAGGGATTAGGCTTTGGATTAGAATAAAGGATTAGATTACCAAGGGATTGGGATTTAGTCAACTGTAGAAAGAGCTGTTAATAATTTGATCTTGAATGTAGTTATAAGAATAAACAAACTTGTTAAAAAATCATTGGGGAAGTTGAATCCTAACTACTCTTTTTTTTATTGAAAACTTAAATCAAATTTTAGCTTTAATTAATTCTGAATTTAATTTCTAAAATATTAAAAATCAAAAATAGTTTACAATTCTGTTTTTAATTTAATCACAAGATTCTCAAGAAAACCTTTAATGATCGATCCAACTTTAGTTAAATAAATAAATTATTGTTTGGTCATCAGTCCTCGTGGGATCGACAACTTTCTTATCACTTTATTACTTTGCACTTACCGAGTTCGCCAACAGATACTAATCCTAGTACGACAGTATAGCAAGCAGGCCTAAGCCCTTATCAGAGGCACCAAAGGCCCATCTACACTACCCATAGGTAACCTCTATAAATACAAGGTAAACCCTAAAGGTACGTTACGCTCTCTCTCTTACTGTTATGCTGTCACTGTGCGCACACACACCCCATTCGCTTACGCTGTTAGTAGTATTCTGTGCACAATGATCTGCTTGACTCAAGGGTATCTCCTCCATAGATACCTTGGAGAGGGCACTAGATCTAAAAGTAACATACCAGCCTATTATCTCTGTCCCAAGGACAGAACAGATTTCTATGAGTATATAGTGGGAATTGTGCAAGTCCAAACTTTTTTTTTTAATTTTTTGTACTATTTTAATTTAATCTATTATTTTATTATACAATGACTTTATGATTAAAAATATGGAGTGTTTGATATTTAAATGTTTTAAGGGATGTGGTGGCATAATCAAAGTTAAACGACTTGCTTTGCTTAAGTATTTATATTGATTTTGATGATATTTGAGAAATGAATTGAAACAGTATTATGAAATTTATGACATATTTATACTTTTAGAGTTTAAGTATTTAAAAGACATTATATTATTATTTGAATGACTTTGATATTATGGATTTTGAGAATAAATTATATTTTCATTTCATTAAGCTGATTTTATAAAATTTGTTTTGGATTTGATGATATTGAGAAAGGTTATAGAAGCATATTATGAATTTTAGAATTATTTATTATTTTATGATTGAATATTTGAGAAGAGTTGCAATACAATTGAATTGTATTAATTATTGTTCCAAAAAAAAATTTTGTGAATTGATTTATGAAACTGTGATTTGCTTATTATTGGTTTTGAAATATATATATATATGGGTTTATTTTTTCTGATGTTACTTTCGATAACTTTATCTAATGTTCAACAAAACAACGTCGTTTTGAGACGGAAATCATGGTATTTTTGTAATTTTAATTTATTTCAGGGTTATAATAGCTTTATCACTCTAATTTTTTAATTTTTCAACCCCAAAACGATGTCGTTTCGATGAACATTAGATAAAGTTATCTAAAGTAACATCGAAAACTTTTTTCCCTATATATATATATATATATGAGAAATTATTGTCTCATTTTACATGAGATAACTATCTCATGTTACTCTCATATAAAAATTTGTGCCACAATTTTTTTTTTAATGGATGGTGGCCCCCACCATATTATGTGTCTATGGTAGGAGATATTATCTCCTACAACATAAATATATATAAAAAAGAAAGAATATACTTACCAACAAGGTTGTCAAGATCGTGATTAATATCGTTGGATCACAAGATCCTACAATTTTCTTCATTCCAGCGATTCAAATCATAGGTAAAATCGTTCTCTACTGAGATTGTGTGGGATCGACGAGTAATATTGTAAAATCGGTGTCATTCTAACAATTGTGAAAAAGTTCGACGATTGGTACTTGGAGGCCAGAGATCAACAAGAATCACTACCACAAATCACAAGAATCACTAGCACAAATCAGGCCTTGGAAAGAGAAGAACGACCATTAGGGGAAAAAAGGGGAACTTTGCAAGAACCTGAACGAAGAACGAGACAAGCTCCCAACAGTTCCACCACCATCTTCCCTTTTGCACTCACCTTCGCCACGCACGCTATTGGGATCGACATTTGGACGCCACCCACCGCTCTCCACTAAGATTTCACTTCGTGCCTTTGCTTTTGCCGTCTGCCGCTTCTTCTTGACGATGACAACATATGTGGTTGAAATTGTGGTCATTCTTTGTTCTTTTAGTTTTATTTTATTGGGTTTCTTTTGTCATAGTGGGCCATATTCTAACTTACGCATATTATTATTCCCCAGCATTGTGATGAATCTGATGATCACTACCTACTTCTCAATTAATTATTTTTTAATCAAATTTTTTAGAACCCACTATAAAAATATAAATATGAATTTTTTATGTGTCAATACAATTTTAGTTAATTAAATATTTCTCATATTTTAAATACAATAAGGTTATCCCTTTTAAAATTTAAAAAATAAAAGGTTATCCTATATTCTTAAAAAAATCTCTTTTAAAAATTTATGTAATTTTTAATATTTTATACACACATGTATGATCTTATGATCTGTATCGATCTTACGATTTACGATTATTTATCCCCCCTTAATTTTATGTAAGATCAATCTTAACAACATTGCTTACCACCAATTAAGTTTACAATTTTTTATCACCAAATCTTAACCGTCGGTTTCCGCTAATCTGAGGGTTATAATTTATTGATGAAACTTATTAATTAATTATTAATTTTTTTTTTGATAACATTAATTATTAATTTTTAATAAGTTACAATTGTAATCAACGGTTAAAATTTAGTGATAAAAAATAATAAACTTAATTGGTGGTAAGTATAACCTTAATTATATATATATATATATATGTATATATATTATTTTATTTATGCTTTTAAAATTGGTTTTGGGGATAATTACATTAAAACATTGTATACGAATAAGTATATATTAGCTAGGGGTGTTCATCAACCGATCCAAACCGATTCAAACCGCGGTGACCGAACCGAAAAACCGATAACCGAAAAACCGAAAACCGAAAATCGAAAAACCGAAAACCGAAATAAAATCGCAAATTTTAATTAGATTGGATCGGTTTTCGGATGGGTTAATGAAAACCGATCCGATCCAAACCGATCTAATATATTAATTTTCCTCTACCTACTTGAGTTTTTTCTCAATCATAGCCCAGAAATTTCTAAACCCAAGACCTGTTAACCCATCAACTACACCTAAAAAAAAAATCTAATCACATCTCATTAACAAAATTTCATCTATGTAGAGCTTCATATCTCATCGCCAAAAAAAACTATATTATCGTTTACTGATGCTTTTGTATTTCAAAAAAATAAAATTACAAAGCCAATATATACAAAATATGTTATTTGCACAATTATCATGAAACAAATTTTAGGATTTTCAAAAAACCGAAAACCGATCCAATCCAAACCGAAAAAAATTGGTTTGGATCGGATCGGATTTGAAAAAAATTTCAAACCGAACGGATGATTAAATGATCAAACCGAAGGTATTGGATCAGATGATTTTTGCTTGCAAAACCGATCCAATCCAGACCGCGAACACCCCTAATATTAACTTCGGTGCACAATGATTTGTTCATAGGGGTGTTCATAAACCGATCCAAACCAATTCAAACCGCAGAAACCGAACCGAAAAACCGAAAACCGAAAAATCGAAAATCAAAAAAAACCACAAATTTTTTTTGGATTGGATCGGTTATCGGTTTGGATGTTGAAAGCCGATCCAATCCAAACCGATCCAAACTATTCAATGATTGAGATGAATCTTGATTTTCTTGGGTTCATCACACACGATTGATCAGGTCCCATTCATGTTTACTGAGCTGGTAACTTCGAGTCTGGAACATCTTCCTTCTAGATTGTAGCAAGACGCTCAAATCAATGTTTTGAGTTTAATGAATTAGTATATGGATTAGATGAATACTAAAACTAAGGAAGCGGATTTGAAAACATCTTCATGTAACGAAACCTTTATCATCTTTGGTAAACCACCAGAGGAATCAGAAATGTCTAATCCTCTATGGTAAACTTGAGGTACTAAAACTTCATTTCTCCCTGAGAATAAACCATTAATTTGAATTTCAATAGAAGAATTACTCAGCATTGGATTGTTCACGAAAGTAACATTTAGAACAACAGTTTTGTCTAATGATATTGTCTTCGGAAGAGATTGCAATAAATTGTCAAGGGTTGCTATCCCTTCTTTTATTTTCTTAGAAATGACCTCTTCAACTGCAGATGCTATGTTCCCTTCAAAAGCATCTACTAGCCTGCAAACTACATAGGATCCATGACAAATAATACTCTTCATTTTTCTAAAAATAATTCTTATAAGTTCTTTTTTTTTTTTTGGCTTTTCAAAAAACCGAAAACCGATTCAATCCAAACCGAAAAAATTGAATTGGATTGGATCGGATTTGAAAAAAAATTCAAACCGATCGGATGATGTAATGACCAAACCGAAGGAATTGGATCAGATGATTTTTTGCTTTAAAACCGATCCAATCCAGACCTATTTGTTCATATACCGAGAGCCTATTATCGATTTATTGTAGGTGGGGAACTTAACATTATAATGATTATAAATAACAATTAAAATTCAATTAATTTTTTTTGATCTTGTATTATAATTTATTTAGTTTTTAAGAAGATTTGTATTATGATTTGGTTTAGTCTTAAAAATATATGTTTCATAAAGTATATCTAAAATTTTACAGATAATTAAAAAAACAATTAAAAAATAGTTAATAACAAAAAAATTGGAATAAATATTTATCCACATAAAAGTTGTATCATTTGAGTTAAAATTACTGTATTTTATTTAATAATTAAATTTAAAAAAATTATCAATAAGCTCATACTCTCTCCTATCATGATTTTTATTATGAAATAGTTTCTCTTATCATAAAACACAATAGTTTCAACTCAAATGACACAATTTTATATTTTTTAAAATGATAAAAACTTTTTCAAAAGAATTACTAATCAAACAATGTATTTTGGAAAAAGTTATACTTACTACCACTTAAGTTTACCACTTCTTGTTATCAAAAAAAAAAAAAAAGTTTACCACTTCTTGCCACCAAATCTTAACCGTTAATTTTTTTTTAATCTAACGGTTATATTTTATTAGAAATTAATAATTAATTAATAAGTTCCATACAATAAATTATAACCGTCAGATTGATGTAAATCAACGGTTAATATTTGATGGTAAGAAGTGGTAAACTTAATTGGTGGTAAGTATAACCTTTCTAATTTATTTTTACTTTAAAAATATGTTTTTAGAATAAATTTATCAAACACATTTTTTTTCATTAAATTTTAAAAAATTTTCAAAAATATTTTCTTCTTCATTTATTCTGAAAAATAATTTTTATAAATTATTTTACAAAATACATTTTTTTTTAAAAATAAACTAAACAAAATTAGACATGGCCTATATTTTAGTTTTTTCTTACTATTCATGCATACTGAATATTAATTTATCAATATTCAATGCATAATTTTTTATTTTTAAACTCAATTTAACACTTAAATACAATTAATTTATTTAAAAGAATTTATTTTTCTTATGTTGCTGCAAAATAAAATCGATCTGCAAGTGACTCAAAACTGCATGTGCGTTCCATCTATGTTGCATTGACATCAAAACGAGCTATTTTTAATTTATGCACTGTATATTTTATTTAATATTCAATAATTTAAAAAAAAGTTAAATTTATAATACCTATCAATTTTGCTAAAAAATATAATATCACAAATATTTATATTAAATTCAATAAAATGATAATCATAATTCAACAAATTTAATGATTAAAACTAAAAACACAACGCAATGCAAAGCAATCTTTAAATTCCTTTTTTAAGTCTATGCAATATGTGTTGATGTAACATTAAATTTTTTGAAGAGTGGTGGATTATAGGGTCCCATCATCAACTATTTTCTCTCTATTCATTTTTTATCTTTCCTCTAAAGATTTGAGTCAACTGCACTTCTAATGGTTTGAGTCAACTGCAGGTAAATTTCACTTTGCAGAAATCTTTTCCCTTATTTAAATCATATAACTGTACACACACAAATAAACTAATATAAAATTTACCAATATTACATTAATAAAAGTTATAAATATTGACATACAGTAGGTAAAGAGTAAAATTAAAAGCCGTTTTACCAAAAAAGAGACAGAGTAAAATTAAAAGCATTTACGACCATGTTAGCATATCCACTAAACATAGTATTTTTGGTAATTAATTATACAAAACTTCAGTGTATCAGGCAAAAATAAATAAATAAATAAATAAATAAAAAAACATAAAAAAGCTCAATGCCAAGATTGGAGATCAAATATTTTGATTCCATATATATGTAGCACCGATACCGACACAGAACACGGGATACGAGACACGACATGACATTCGGATACGATAATTTTAAAAAATATTAGATTTTGACATGTTAAGACACATTTTGATATTAAATAATATTTTAATTTTAGTTGCGTATATTATATTTAATATTCAATAATCTAACAAAAAAAATAAAAGTAAACTTATAATACTTATTAATTTTGTAAAAAAATATAAAATATTACAAATATTTATATTAAATTCAATAAAATGATAAGAGTAATTTAACGAATATAATTGTTAGAACTAATAACACGACATAAAGCAATCTTTAAACTTTTATTTTTTTTGAGTTTTTACGAGGCATATTAAAGTATCCAAAAGTGTCAGTATCGAAAAATGGATAAGTGAGGTTTTTAAGTGTCATAGCATATATCAGATGAAACCCAATTTGAACAGTGTTTAACATTCTAATTCTAAACAAAAAGAAGAAGAAAAAAAAAACAAAAAACAAAAAAGAATGGCGAGCGAAGAGGAAACTGTGGCTGAGGTTGAAGCTGTGGAAGCCGTTTATGGAACCGATTGCTCACTTCTCCGTTCTTTCCCTCCCCATTTTCACATCTCCCTCAAACCCAGAACCGCTGATGTTACCTCCGAACAGGTCAATTTCTTGGTTTTTTTTTTTTGTTTTCTCTTTTGGATTCTTTTTCCTTCAATTTATGATGACCCATTATTTAGTTCTAATTCATCAACCCAAAAAAAATGAGTCTTGTTTAGTTAAAGTGAAAAATAAAATAAAATTGGGGTGTGTGTGTGTGTTGGGGGGACATAGTAATATTGAATCTACATGCTTATGATTTGCGGGCAATGATTTGTATGAGAAGATTTTGCTTTAGTAGTGGTATTGCAATTATTATATGGACTATATTCTCAAGCTACATCAATTTAATGAGCTGTTGCACAAAGAGTGTGAAGTGTGATTTTCTTGATGATATTAAATCTACTATTTTTTTTTTTTTTTTTAAATCTTTAACTGTTTTGTTTCAGTATTATATTTGGGTGGAGTTGTGATTATGCAAAAGTCTAGTAAGTACCCTGGATGTTTCAATCTTCATGGTCTGTTATGATGTTCAGGTTTTACAAAGTTGTGACATGTGAATGCATTTTTTCTCCCTTGAGCTGTTTGTGTTGATTTTAGACATGTGAATCTCCCCTTGGAACTAAGTGTATGATTGTTAATGGTTTTTTATATTATTTTTCTTTACAGTTTGTAGAAGTTATTCTAGAGATACAAGCAAGCCCTCAGGTATGTTTCACTGAAAATATACATGTGATCTGAGTAAATTTGCTGGGTTGCCTTCAAATACAGTAGATTAGGATATTATATGAATAAATTTTGAATTCTTTTTAATGGGTGTTTGGCTTCCATATGGCGTAAAGCACATGGTCTTTATAAAGGGTTTCCCTCACTGATCGCTGTTGGATTGGAAAGCTTTACTTCATTGATGTTTTCTTTTCGTTGGTTTCTCCTTTTAAAGGAGGATCTCTTATCCTCTTAACTCTTTGTAATCATCTTTTATTTGGCTTAGTGAATTTCTTCTTTGATAAAAAAGAAAAGAAAAGAATAGAATTAGTTGGATGCCTTAGAATAAAGTAGCTTAGGATATAAGGTGAACTTTTTAAGCCACCTTCTTGCTGAGGGACTGTATGGATAATTATGAGAAATTTAATTTTGTTGGATATGACTAGTCATCTTCCACTTCCATCTCATTCCTAGCTTAATGTTGATTGTTTAATCTCCGATTTATATCAGTAGGCACAAGCTTATGAATTTTTTCTCGTTATTATGATAGTATCCGAAAGAACCACCGTGTGTTGCTCTTGTGGATTGTAAGGGTCTGGATGAACAGAGAAAAAAGCATCTATTAAATCACATACAAAGTAAAGCCGACGAGCTCTCCCCTTGTTTAATGCTTGTAGCTCTCTGTGAGGTAACAATTGCATTATTGATCTAGCTGCACCTTTTGAAACAATATCATCGATGGTTTTACTTCATATCTGTATGCCCCTTGTTTGTGGATAATCTTATAAGCATTTAATTAGTAACATCTGTCGCTTTGCACTACATTTTCACTTGCTTTGCCCATTCTGTTATGCTCCAGATCCCCATAGTGAATACCTCCCTTGATTTCCTCATCACCCCCGAGCAATCATCTGTCGCTTTGCACCTTGCCCCTTCGGAAATATACTTTAGTTATATGAGGTCTATCAACCTATAATTTTATGTGAGTAATATCGTAGATGAATAGAGTCCAGTTGAGGTCCTTGGTGAATCATTAATTATATGTTTGTTTAGATTGCAGCATTCATCTCTCTATTTTATCTTGTAATATTTTGGTTAACTAAGGAATCTAGAAAACATTAATGAAGAATATTAACCATTGAAATGCTGCTTTATCTTGTGGGACTGCAGACTCATTCATTAAAAATCACTTCATGTCATTTTTGCCCCTTTTATGTTTCTGTTGTAATACATAAATTTTTTGCTTTGTAGTTTTTAATATATCTTTGGATAACATGAAAATTGTGGAATCTGCAAATACATTTAGCTTGTCAAATATAGATTTTCGTGCAATAATGATTGATAATTCATTATTGAAATGTATTTGAAGGAAGCGGTAGAGAAGCTCTCAGCTATGAATCATCCTGATGGTGATTGTCCATTGTGTTTGTCCCCTTTGGTTCCAGAAGATCACCAAAGTGAAACCTTGCCTTTTATGAAGTTAATGTCTTGCTTTCATTGTTTTCACAGGTAGGCTCTTATTAAATTTATCTTTCTGTTCTCGTGTTCATTACATCAGACTTTTTAGAAGTTTTATGAAGTTAATTTTATCTTGGTTTGACATTAGATTTTCAGATCTAATTTTCACTCCCAATATTGTCTATAATTGGCAGTGAATGTATCATTAGATGGTGGAATTGGCTTCAAAGTTCTAAAGAAGCAGACTCTGCTAATTCAAGTAGTGCAACTGCCCATTCTGACCAAGGTATAGATAATTGGAAAAGTACTTTTGACCCCAAGTCTAAAATTAGTTTTCAATATGAAATTATTCTTTTGTATAAACAAAGCATAGAAACTAGGAGGGCTAATATGTTGTATCAGAAAATCCTCCTAAGACATGGCTGGCTTCTAAAGTAGATGCATGATTTTCAGATTCAATCTGTGTTCAATAAATTAGAGAAAAATCAGCCTAAAATATTCGTAGTTTACTGTTTGTCTTTAGCTAAGTATAGTAGCATCTATTCTATTCTCCTTGCATGGAGAACTTGCCTCTGTCATGCTTTATTGCATTCCAAATAAATATCATGAAAATTCATAGTATAATATTTTCCTATGGAATTTCTGTCTTTTATTATTAGATAATTATGAAAAAATGGAAAAGGGTGCTGGAAACTGCCCAGTCTGTCGCAAGCCTTTTAATGCCAAGGATTTGGATCATGTGCTAGATCTAGTTGGCTCACGTTCTTCCCAATTGGTGAGTTATTTGGTTCACCACTACAGCATGGAATGTAAATGAGAATTTCAATATTGGTTTATATTTGTTTGTCTACAATGGCCTATAGTTAGATGGCAGGTGTTGTTGGAACTTGGATGAATTGCCTTTGGGACCATGCTTGCAATCTGATAGAGTTTTTTCTTGCTGCATGCTGTAGATAATGTTTTCTTCCATTGAAGAGAACCTGATGATTCCTAATGGTTCAGAAAGATGATTTGGAAGTTTTGTACTAACATATAATGGGCTCAACTTTATTCTGTTTATATTTTTCAATACTAATTTATCTGGGTAGGGAGATATTTGAGAAGGAAATTTACATATCTTTTAGGCTTCTGTCATTTTATTGGCATCCTTAGTTCCACTTTATAGTGTTTAGTTTAGTGGCATTTTCAAAAGAAAAGTACTTGAATTAGCAAGAACCTATTTACTCTTTTCAAAGATGGAAGTCATTCTCCTGCATAAATTATTTCAACTTACTTTTTAGTCATCCATCATGCGAATAGTGCTTATGTCAAATCTGTCAACATCCACTTGGTCCACTCCAGTTTCTATTGGAAATTGCCCATGCACTTGCTTTTCCCCTAGCATCATGAGGCACAACATGTTTCTGCTAGTTGTAAATTGCTCATTATTTATTTTCTCAGTCACCAGTTCTATATTTTCCTTTGATAGTATTATCTGTCACGATGTCATCTTATGTTTAATAAATGGTGCTTAGTTACTTGTAGTGTTTGCTTGTATTATATATTTATGTGGGTTATGTGAGATACACTTGGGCATCAGCTGACACCCCTTTTATGTTTTGTTGGGATCTTTACCTTTGATAGGAGTTTTTGATACTTTTTTTTAATTGTAAATTAATATATGAATAGGGAATTTAAATACCATTGCCCTTTCTTTCCCTTTGGCCATGTTCTGATTAACCCCAGCTTTTGAAGAAGAATGAAATAGAGCCGACATGATACTTTGCTTTCTCATTCTGTTTGGTTTTTGTCAAGATTGTACTCTGAAATGCTAAATATGCAGCCACGGGCACATTGATGCTCAGTGGCACCTGTAACTGCTGTGATTTTGTTTAGAATATCTTGAAAGATGCATTATAAAAATGCATATACTTTTCTTTTAGTAATGAGGTGGGAGATTATTTCAGTTAGTTTGATTTTGACCTGTTAAATTATTTTCTTACAAATGGTTCTGGCATCTGCCTTGGCCCTGCATGTAGCGGAAGTTCTATAGTACTAGCTGCCCTTTAGTGTGTTGAATTTGATATATAGGTTGTGGAATTGAATAATTGATAAAATTTCAAAAATATATACTTTTACTGAGCCACTGTGTGTGGTAAAAGAATGTTCATACTATGTTTTGCTCTGTAAAATAGCAGCCAAGTTTTGCCAATTTACAAGTTATAGATTATCAAGAGGTCTTAAAACCAAGATTCAATTTCAGTTGTAGCCTTATAGGCTCAACATTTGGATGGATTGTGTCAACACTGCTAACTTGATATTAAGGCAAACAAATTGTTTGAATCATAATAACCATGTTTTCAAAATTAGTTCCTTTTATGTTGCTCTTAAAAGTTAGTCCTTGTTTTCTATTGGAATTCAGAGTATGGATAATGATGAAGCCAATGATGAGGAAAAGCTTCTTCAATCTGAGCATGAGATCATCAGGAGACAGAAATTTGAAGCCATCTTAAACTTACAGAAGGAGAACAGTGGTTTGTTTGAACCCAAAAGAGATATAGTAATAATGCCTGGTATGTATCTTCCACAACCGGTTGCAATGCCCAGTTCCATGTCAACCAAGGAATCTGATGAGGTGCAAGAAAAAGATCCACCTGCAGTTGGTTCAGGAAAACATGCCAGTGGAACCTCAAATGGACCAAGTTCTAGTGGGAACAGGAGTTTTGGTGCAAGGAGGCAGAGAGCAAGAAGTGATCATCACTCTAGTTCAACTGTGAGAAATCCAAGAAAACAAGTCCAGCAGTGGGTAAGAAAAGATAATCCTAGCAATAAGCAATAGAAGTGATGTCTCTCACTGCTATATGTCATATTTATATATCACATGAATGTTGAGCAAGATACAAAATAGTAGGAAAAGACAGAACTAAGAGCTAGGTACTTCCCCCTCCCTTTTCAGTTGGAGGGGTGTTAGAGGAATAGAATGAAAGCAAAAAAGGAAAGACTTGCACATGGTGCTTAATTCATCGGTAATTTCCTTATTCTTTTTTCTCTTTTCATTTTGAAGAAGGCAAGCTTAGTGCAGTGGTAAAATTATTTTTTTGTGACCGCAAGGTCATGATTTGCAAATATGCAATGATAATGTTGTGTACAAGGTTTAATGGTGAGTTTTATTTTTTTTTTTTTTTTTTTTACTTTTGATTGTCATGAAAAAATTTCATTCGCAATGCTCCACACTAAGTTATTTTTAATTCGGCAATCAAGTTATGGCATGACACTCTCTAAATATCATTTGTAATGTTATTATTATTTTTTCAGTTATATTCTTATCTCGTGGATACTTCTATTAAGTGGAATAAGAGAGTATTAATGGATTAAGGAAGTAATTTAGTCTGAAGAAGTTATATTTTCTTTTCCTAAAATTGAAAGTATTTAATAATTTTTATGTAAAAACATTAAACGACTGATATTTTGAAATAAAAGTAGTATTTTTCACTACTTAATTATTTATCAAAGATTCAGAATTACCCTTATATATTTTATTTTATTTATCAATTATCAGTATAAATTTTACACCATTTAATTATGTTATAACATTAAAATAATTTGACTGTGACAATGTTTGCATAAAAATTATTAAATTCTTATAATGATGTGATAACATATACCTCAGTGATAGTATAAAAAAATTTCAACTAAATTGGACCGGCTATGTGACATCAGAGAACCGTCGTTCATTATTTTCAGGTATTCTTTTTGTGGTGCATGTTGTCAATTATTCTTTATTGCTGTGGTTTATAACCCTGTAAATCGTGAAGAAAGGTATGACATTAATAAATTAGTTAAACAAATTTCAGAGTAGCATCCTCTCAAGTCTCATCTTTACTCCATTACATGGATAATCAATTATCGCCTAAGCCTTGCAGCCTGGACCTGAAACGTTATCATCATACTACTAAATCATTTATGAATAAGGATGCAGAGTCACAAAGTTTTCCACACCAGCTTAATAAATTAGTTTTCTGTCCGTGTCTCTGTGTGTGCGTGCGCGAGTCTTAAGATGTCTTTATTTTGGACATAACTTTGTTGCCCTCTACGAGTTCAATCTCTTGATGTTTTTCTCGACTATTCTAATGGTCAAAATGATTATTGTGTCCTTAATATTCACTCTCGAAAAATATCACCCAAGGTATTACCTTCGATGAACATATTTGCTTTTGCCTTATTAGATACATTGTTTCCCCTGGCTCTCCATTCTTTTACCACTACCTCATATCCCATCAGAAATTACACATACCTCACTACCCCCCGCTTCCTCATCAAAAATTTCATCACTGTGGCCTTAACACAACTCACCTATGAAACACCGATACGCAGGAATTTTTCTCCCAACGTATCGGACACTTCCTGTACCATAAGCTTTCGATATGAATATTACCGTATGGGATTGGCCCAAAAATACCTAAATGAGGAGGGGAGGAGCTCCACTAAGGAGGCGAGCGGCGTTATCGACCTGGGTCGCTTGGGGTCGGAGGGAGGAGCTCCACTGTGAGGAGGCGAGCAGCGACCTCTTGGGAGGGTTGCTTGGTGAGCTCTATGCCGGTGACCGCGGGGGGAGGGATGCTGTTGCAGGAGGGTGGCAGCTGTAGCAACCCGTTGTATACTGGTATGTTATCATTACATATGATATTAAGCGCATTTACAATCACATGGGTTAAATTAAAATACGATAAAACTTTTTCCTTTTTCATTTTAGAACCGATTCCGTATTTAACCAAATTCAAAACTGTAATTATAACTCATACACAATTGCGGAATAATTAAATCTAACTCATACATATCATACATTACTTATTTATTATTGCCATGTGGTTCCCATAAACCGACAAGGCTGAATTCATAATTTTACTATATTCAACACTGGCAGCCTCTACGTTTTCCTAAACTGGGGCCGACTACATAACCGTAAATTCCCATATTTTATTATGTTATATTAGACCTCTCAAGCTTTCTAGAGGTGTATTACAAGCTTCAATAGGATATGTATAACTCTAGATACATTCGTCGTAAGCCAACATCCTAAAACTGGGCTATAGGGAAACATGGTAGCAAACTAAACTTAAAACAACGGAAGTTGTACCGCCCAATTTATTCTAAAATTTTTATACAAAAAACTATACATCCATAGCTTTAATTTGATATATGATACGCCTCGTTTTGTTAATGAACGAAGGAGATACGCCCAATCAAAGCTGTTGCCCAGAAGCTGGTAGCAAGTCTGCAATTCTAAGCAGTGATCACTCTTCTAAAAATTGGGGGCGAATTCTATCGCAAAAGAATCCCATATTTTAGGACAAGATAGTAGACATTCTAAGATTTAATTTGGTACCTCACTCGTCTCACCTTTTAGAGAAAAGAATGAGTTATGATTTTCTAAAGATGGAAGTGATTCCTAGATTCTATAGAAAATTTGACATCATCATTTTGTATTTTCAATCTAAGGTCATTTAATCCAATCTTATTACCTAATTGACATAGAATGGCCACCCGTTGCCCGACAAATAAGGAGGCACTTACATCCAACAACAATTACCATATTATGATGCTTTCTTATTCCACAAATTATTTCCATTTGGTTACTTAAACATCAAGTTGTTTAAGTTCCCAAATTATCATACAACCTCATCTTATTTCATGCTTATGCCAATTACATTGTTTCTGCAATTATTTATTACTTAGCCATATCAAGGCATCACAATATATCAGAATAGGCCTAAGCTCTTCCATCATAGATATATCATAATATTACATGTCTAGGTCTCAAATGAACATAAATAAAATTACATCATAATGGCCCAATTACAACTTGGACTCAGACAAAATATCACATGAATAAAACCCTCACAAGGTATGCATCCAAAATAGCATTACATAATCACGTTCATGTGCTAAGTCCCAAAGTGAATCCAAATATGCCAATCCCAAAATACAATAGGGCATCCAAAATATCAATAATCCACAACCATATTCAAGCTTCTTGCTCAAGGATCCTCCAGAACCATCAGCAGTACCTGAAATGTGGTCCCTCCAGAAATGGGGTGAGATTAAAAATCTTAGTAAACCAAGGGTATTGGAGGGTCGCTCCATCCAATGGTTCACTCAATGTGCATAAATAATAACAAAGGAATAGTAAACATACATTATATTAGCACAAAACATTTCCACACGGAGGTCATAATACAATACCTATCCCACATCACCAACTCACAAAGGTCATTACCATACCCATTGTGGAGGTCACACAGCCGTACCCACTGTGGAGGTCATTACCATTCCCATGGAAGATTTCAATCACAATTATCTACTAGCCAGAGATCACAAATACACATAATATATCATACATATAATTATCACATCCAATCAAATGCATAAGCATACTATCTGACAATTGGTATCATAAATCACATCATCTAATCTAACCATTCCTCCCAGTGGAGCATGGTGAAACACACAAAGGGATTAACCCCAAGACCAGAAGTTTACCTGAAAGCAAACCTCCTCTTGACAAGCTTTCCAATTACCAAGCAAGCTCGCAATACACTTTACACACCAAAGTTTACCTATACAAGGTAACTATTCCAATCAACAATTGAAATCAATCAAAACCATTAATCAAATGGCTATCCAATCAATACAAAACATTTATGAACTCAAATTCATAACTTACCAAATTCTTTTTGAACAAGAACCAATGCCTTCGACACACCTAGGCAATACCTAGTCTTTCATCAAGCAATCCAATTGCTTCAATCTAAAATATCACACAATCAAAAAATCAACACACAACTTGACATTACAAGTATCCAAATACATGAAAATCATACTTTATTCATGCATAAATTTCGGCCATAGTCCATAAGCAACCACATTGGTGATTTAAATTCCTTTTTATCATTCACATTGATTCCTTAACATATTATACAAAGGGACAACCAACCAATTCATGTCATAAACCTCCAAACACATGACAATTTCATCACTTTCTCAAGTCCTATTTTCGGCCAAGACTCAACATAACCCATTGGTTATTTAATCCCATTTTATTCATTATTTCATCTCACAAACAATTACTCAAGCACACCATAGGTCCAAGCTACACTTCATCACTTTTTCCATGCATAATTTTTGGCCAACAACAAAAGTGAGCAAACCATATGATTTGAACCACTTTCCATCAATTAAATCACTTTCCAAACACACTTTGTACATGAATTTAAGTCTCACTCACACCCTAATACCATGAACTTAACCACATTTTCCATGAATGCATAAATTTTTGATCTCCATTAAACATTGAGTAAAGAGAGTTTTTTTTACCTTGAATCAACTAACAAAGGTCTAAGGAATGTCTTTCAACCAACCAAGTAAGCAAAACAAGCCTCCAAGCTCAAGAACACCATCAAGGTCGCCACTTTCTAGGGGAAGGATCTCCTCACACAATAGATTTCAACCAAGTCTCTAAGAAGGAAAGATGATCACAAGCCCAAGACAAACATCTTTCATGCCAAAGTTAAGGCTAAAAATGAGTAGAAATGGAAGTGCCACTCTCAAGCTCTCCACAGATGGCCTCCTCGATTTTGGCTGCTGCACCTAACGAAGAAGACAAGCCAAAATGGCTTAAGTGGTGTCTTGATTCCACTTAAGTGAAGTCTTGACTTAGGTCAAAGTTTTTCACATAGAAAATTACTATTTTACCCCTCACTTAAACTCCCACCAACTTATGTTTTCATCATTAAATCGATATTTTAACATTCACCAATGTTCATTAATAAACTCTCATTAGCTTATTTTCAAGTTTTCAGGTAATTTTGCACAGTTGCATTTTTAGCGCGATATTTTCACTATTTACAAGTTTCCCAAAAAATCACCAAAAATCTCCAAATTTTATTCTTAATCCAATTTCATCATTTTAATAACAGAATAATATATAATTATTCATATCACATGTTAAGGTTATTATAGCGGTAGCGCCTCTGGTGTGTCGGAGAATTCGACGGGTCTGTGGGTTGGGGGTTAATCGTCATTGTACTTGCGCTTCAATGAGGGTTGGGTTATGGCGTCGTTGCCCACTGAATATTGAGATTCGTTGGCCATGAGAATTGTATAGAGGAAAGAGAATAAGATAAGAAGATGAAGAAAAAACCCTAGCGTAGGGTGGAGTCTCGATACTTGTACTTGATTAACTCCACCTACGGGGCGTGACTTGTCAATTTATATATCCAAAAAATCACTCGACACTCACAAATTCGCCTCACCATAATATCTCACCAATCAAATGCCAAATTAATTCAATTTAATTTTTGTAATGAAACTTAGGATTTTCCTTTTATTATATTTTGTTAGTGTGAAATACACTCTTTATATTAAAATATTATTTAATACTAAGACGTATGGAACATATCGAAATATTAGTATTTTTGAAGTAACATATCAACATCGCGTATCGAAAACATATCAAAAACCCTGTGTCAAAATTGGTGCTTCATAGCAACTCACAACCCCCTCCTTACCTTCGTGACTCTGCCAGCCTATATTGTTTGAAGCAATCATCTTTTTCGGTAATACCATATTATACGATTTAAATAATTATTTCTCTTTTCACAACTTTAATTCTTCATACAGTGCTTTTTTCTTCTTCCTATTTTGTAGCCTTTGAGATTTAACCTTCCATTTTTACCATGGCAATGACAAATATGGAATGGAGGGATGCCCTAACTCCAAAAAGGAGATATACTCACAATCGTACTTAGTCATTGGATCAAAATAGATCTTTAAAATTAAATGCCGCTTAGATGAAAAAATTGATCTAAGGCTCATCTCATTGTTAAAGCCTAAAATCAAATTGAAAATATTGATTATCATGATACTTACGCCCCCATTGATAAACTTGCCACAATCCAATTTAAATTGGATGTGGTTTCTCCTGATGGGACAAAAATTCGTTCCCATCTAAGCTTATTTTGATGGTAAAATTACATCTGTTCCTTCATCTGGTGACCAATTTTTGCCTCAAAAGCACATTTCTAGAACTTAGAAACAAAAGAACCAGAAGGGAACATATGATGATGTAATCAGTTGAGAATACAAGAAAAGGGGAACAAATTGACTCATTAATACACCTGCTCAACTAACTCACCCTCTCTGACCACTTTGCAAGAAACGTTGAAAAGAAGCTTCCAAAAAGTAGAAAGAGGTACAACAATCAAGCAGGAAGAAACGTGTATAGCAGAGAATAAAGAGTTACCATTGAGTGAGAGGAAAAGCAAGTATGGAAAATGCAGAAGAAAAGGCAAATCTCAACAATAAGTGTCCCATCCAACAACTTGCTTCACAAAAGAGCACTGTTCACACCGCCTCCTTATATATTCGAGAAACAACTCAAGTGGAATTACAAGTTTTTCCACCTACTCTTCTGGCCTATAAATAGGACGTTCCAACACGAAGAAAACATCGAATTCCTTAAGAAGAGATCACTTAGGATAGTTTCAGTTTCTACTTTTTAGTTGTATAGTTTTTAACAACAATTAAGTGACAGCAACCCTTCCTCCATTCTATATCTTCCATTTGAGACTCCTTAAGAGCAACAACCATATTTCTCTATTTTATTTACCTGTAACCTAAACTTGTTTCTTATTAATATATGTTATTATTTCTCTTCTCTTTTAGTCGTTATCTCTAAACTGAATCTCGGGTCTATGGGACTTCAATTTGAAATAATTATGTTTATAGTTGTAGCCATGGGCTAAGTTATGGAACAAAAAAGCCCTCACCTCCATGAAAGTTGGTCTACGGCCAACAAAGAAAAAAATGCAAAATGAGCTTTCTATTGCAGCTCCTTAATTGTTGCCACTCGACTGAAGCAAGGGAGGAATAGGGAATGGGCTTAAGTGTTTCTGCTCTCCCCCCCATGGATTCACGGTTTGGGAGGATGATGGAACAAAGGGATGCAGGCAGGGTTCCTTGACCCGCGCATGTATAGAACCAATCTTAAGTGAATTTGTTATGCCTTTTGTAGGAAATCTTAGATTTATGCGGAAGCTGTTTAGGACCTAGTACATTGGTATGCTTACCGAATCATCCTTGTTTCACAATTACCTCTCGGTGCGCAGGTCTCGTGTAGAATCTTTCCCTGTAGGATTCCTCTTCACGAACAGCTCACCTCAGCGCTGCAGCACGAACAACCTCCTTGAAGCTGGACTGTGGCAGATCTTCCAAACTATCTCTCGAGGAGGAAGGGGAAGTGTGTGGGCACTGATTAGATTCTGAGCTTGCCTCTTTCTCACAAAAAAGACCTAGGAGGTTGATGACTTAAGAGGTACTATTTATATGGGTTCCAAGAAACCCTAGCTCATTGGGCTTTAGGTTCCTTGGGCTCTTCTCATACTAATAACTCATTTGGGCTTTAGTAAAAGAGCAAACCCAACATAAAAAATAATAGTGATTTGGAGTTCGTTTGCCCTTCGAAACATAACTCACAAATTTAAGAGGTAAAACAGTGAAAATATCACAAACGTCCTGGCTGGTAAAATTCATACTAAATCGAGCTTTCAGAATTTCCTTGAAAGGTTTATATAAAATGAAACTAGACACCTGGGGCTACGCGTGCATATAAATTATAAGAAAATCGGAGGTCCGTAGCCCCGGAACGACAACTTGCAAGGTGCTTGCAAAAACGTTTCAAAAATCAACAAGTAGATAAAACGTCAAAATCCTTTTCGCAAACGTTTCAACATCTGTTTCCAAAATACTTGCTGGTCATAAAATTATAAAACAGCAATAAAGCCATAGTCCAACAGTCAAACAAACCCCTCAAATTCATACAGTCATCCATAAAATAAAACAGCAATAGCAGTATGTCCAAGCAGCAGAAGTACAACAAATATCCAAATATTCCAAGTCCTTGAATGCTCTATCGTCCTCCTGCGATTTTGTAAAAATAGCAGCCCCAAAGGGGTGAGAAAAATCTCAGTAGTGTGGCAACAAAACCAATAATGCAACAATATTAGACTAGGCACAAAATTATAAACAGTCGCTTCAAACATTAAATCATTTTCATCATAGTTCCTTTTCATCATATATCATATTGCGTATGTAACGCCAAAGTACTAAACAGAGCGCGTATATAACGCCAGAACGCATGTCCATAGCACTAAGGTGCACATGTTAACAGAACTCCAAGTGATATTCTTTTTGGCTCACAGAATTGAATATCCAAGGAACCTATGCGCACAGAGCCAGGGTGCTCTTGCCGGGTACCTTCGGCATGCCTAGATGATGCGTGCTCAGTCACATGATCCCGTATATAACTATTCAAAATTTTCAAGGCTAACATGAATTCGGAGTATGCATGCCATGCTATGTTGTCACACACAAACAGAAAACAAATGCGGTATGATGCAAGGTGCATGCTTATATCATCATTGCCATAACATATATTTCATGTATATGAGATATCATACAGCCAAGCCATACTTTCTTTCCATAACAGAATTTCCATAATCATAACATTTCCATAGGCAGAATAATTCATCAATTATGGTAGAATAATCATAAGGCACATGTGAGCAACAATTCACAATTCATACACTAGTTAATAGTCACATTAGGTAATACCGCCTAACACATACCTGTGACCTTTACAACTTTTTAAACAGACGTATCACCAAATCAGTCCACTTCCTTAGTAGTTCGTAGGCCTAAACAAATATATAACAAATCAGAATTTTATTTCAAATTATTCCTAGATGTTACATAAAGTTTCCATTCCTCTAGATCCTTGATTCCCAATCAGCTTTTATGGTTCATAGGCTAAATTAATTTTATGATTCACGGTTGTAAGACCTATAATTACCCTAACAAAATTTCCGACTTCAAATTGATTTAACAACGAATGACGACGAGAAATTCCAACATAAACAGAATTAATTTTCTACTCACTACTAGGTAACTAGAGTTATTCCTTTATATAACAATTTTATTTTTACATAACATAGAGAGCAATAAAGGGCTTCAACGTGCTGCCCTTAATGTTCTTAGCACATGCAGATTTTAATCACTTTTCTTAGTCCAAGGAATCAGTCTCGCAATAGAACAAGGAGCTATTCCCATGCTCACAATTTCAGTTTTGGTCTCATGTATATTAAATCCTACTCACCTCAATTAAACATGAAATTAATGTTTGAACATACCTCCTTCGGTTTCCTACACATATACCAATTAATTTTCTGACTTCACGTTACTGTATCAACTTGTTAAACAACAACAAAAATCTAGGATTTAATTAGCATTCAGAATCGGTTTTTTACCCTTAACATCAGTGCATCAATTCTGATATTTTTACAGTCCTACTTGCAAGGCTTAGAGGGGTGATTTAAATACCTTTCAGCATGCTGTTCCCATTAATTTTTGACACATGCAAGGCTTGAGACTTTAATCTAACTCATGGGACATTCCTACTATAGGTGGGGCTAATTTTCCAAGCCCCAAAATCTGCCATAAGACATGCGTGCAGCAAAGGAGTCTACGGTTTGGGCAATCTAAGGGGAACGGCAAACAGAAATTTGCTTTTAATAACCTATCTTCCAGCCGAGCAGTGTATGGAGGAGAAGGAAATTTGGAAACTCCACTTACCTGTTCTCAAGCGCTCCAATAACCACAATCCAGTAAGGACAGCCCTAACACTTCTTCCTATGCTCCAATAGACCGGTTCCATTGCATGCAAGGGAGAAAGGAGTCGATCACAGCTGGGTCAAGGGCATGCAATGGAAGATTCAATTAGAACAGACTCAGGGAAGTAAACAAGAAGACAACCAAAAAATACCTCACCTCCATGAAAGTTGGTCTACGGCCAACAAAGAAAAAAAATGCAAAATGAGCTTTCTATTGCAGCTCCTTAATTGCTGCCACTCGACTGAAGCAAGGGAGGAATGGGGAATGGGCTTAAGTGTTTCTGCTCTCTCTCCCTATGGATTCACGGTTTGGGAGGATGATGGAACAAAGGGATGCAGGCAGGGTTCCTTGACCCGCGCATGTATAGAACCAATCTTAAGTGAATTTGTTATGCCTTTAACCATTGACCAGGTCCGATTTAATTTCTCTCCTTTGCCATGCTCACCCGGCTGAGGTGTGAAGATAGGAAGGGGATATGCAGCTTGAGTGTTTTCTCTTCTTCCCTATTGATTCACGGCATGAGGAGAGGTCAGTTTTTATTTTGTTAACGGAAGGAAAATTCTAGGCGGAGGAAGGAGCTTGGCCGAACAAGAGGGACGATTCAAGATGTCCTCATGGCCTATGTGTCACACATGCAAAGAGGGTTGGAGATTTTGGTTGACACTTTTGTTAACATGTATAGGCTGATTTGGTTTGGATAACAAAACATGAAATCAGAACTTTTTCTATATTATGCGCATGAAGGAAAATGTAAGGAGAAAATGAGGTTTGGGCTACTTGGTTTCCATTATGGTCCTTGGCCCAATTCCTTTGAGGCCCATTGGTTCCTTAAATTAATTTCCTAAGGGTTCATTTATCTCACTTCATATAGTAATAGCTATTCTATATTTTATACCCACTAGGTAACAACTAGGATTTTTAGCTATTTGTACCTACAATTAATCCCATGAATTCCAATTTCTTGAAACACATGCTCACACATAATTATAATTAACATAATTTCTTCATGATTTAAATTAAATCCACCTTAGATATACGTATAATTCGAATTCAAGCGTACTTCCACATTGCTAAGTACAATTTATGTGAGTTCCTAATTTTTACGGGGTGTTACATGAGGCGTAAATAATTATAGTAAGTCAGTAATTATGTTAAAAGTCGCTTTTCTGAGGGAAAATGCAGATACCGGTTCTGCTACTCGCTATAAATGCGTACCGATAAAGTATCCCAGAAAATTATTATAAGTGCATGAATATTACTAGAATAATATATAGTACTTGTAAAACGAGTTTCAAGTTAAAATAATGAGAACTGGTGCCAGAACTGATACTGGCTATGGAAAAGCGCGTACCGGAAAGGTACTCCGAAAATTATAATAAAAATATGATAAATCTTGTAAAATTGAGTAGGTTAAGAATCCTGAGGTTGGGATTAAAATGCTAAGCGTAGAAATTAACATTAATACTGTGTGTTTAATTTTTAAGTGGCTATATAGGCTTGTTTGCACCAAACCCTAGGCCATAATATTGATCCTACGTGGGTTTTGGGGCTGGTCAGCTGCTGGTTCACTGTTCCATTGCTTTACCACTATTTTGTGATCCTTGTTTATATTTCGAAGAACAGTAGCAATTCATTGATCGTTGTTAATATTTTTCTAAAAAAATTTCTTTGATCGTTGTTGCTTTTTATTTTAGTTCTTAATGTTTCGTTTTACTAATGACATTTCATATTGTTCTTATGGTGAACATCTTACTTATATTGCTAAGTAATGGTGTGTTACCTTAGATTTCTTTTTATTTAAGAGTACCACATTTGAAAAACTTAAAAACAAATCAAAGAATACCACACATTAGCTATTGTTTGATAAATTACCATTTAACCAAAAAACCCGGATTTATCATCTGACCCCCTGTGATTTTAAACTTATTACTTAGACCCACTATGTTGAAATATTTTGTCTTTTAGTCCCCTATGGTTTCTGTTGAAATGAGATAATATTTGTTGAGTTGTACAATTGTTGGAATTTTAATCATTGATGTGTGGTTCTTGCCTACGCTTATTTTCCTTCGTTCGAATGTGTAGCGGATGTTGTATGATTATTATTTTTGTTTACCTTATAAACAAGTTGCTATGAATTCGTGTTCTATTTTTTGTATACTAATTCTCTTTTTTTTCGTTTTGTAGGACGAAAGGTTTCGTCGTATTTCATGTTGTGTGGTTCTTGCCTACATTTATTTTTCTTCGTTCATATGTGTAGCTAATTTTATATTATTATTATTTTTGTTTACTTTATAAACAAGTTGCTATGAATTAGTTTCATTTTTTGTATACTAATTCTCTTTTTTTCGTTTTGTAGGGCAGAAAGTTTCGTTGTATTTCATGCTGTGTGGTTCTTGCCTACATTTTTTTTCTTCGTTCATATGTGTAGCTAATGTTATATTATTATTATTTTTGTTTACTTTAGAAGGAAGTTTCTATGAATTAGTTTTCATTTTTTGTATACTAATTCTCTTTTTTTCGTTTTTCAGGGCTGAAGGTTTCATACTACTGTGATTAGTTATTTACGTAGTAAACGCCCTCAATGCTACGTAGTGCTTTCCTACGTTTTTTTGCTACCCGATACAAAAATTGAATGGTAATCAATGGAATAAAATGTCAACGGGTGAAGAGTTTAAAATTTATCTGCATCGAGGGTCCTTCTTCTACAAACGTGCCAGGATGGAAGAAAGGGTTTGTCGATCTTCGCAATGCTACTGCAAAAGTTGCAAGAATTTTTTAAGGCTTCCTGGGGATATTTTTTGTATTCTGCGAGTTGTGGATATATTTTCTTCATGCTTGATAATTTAAGAATGTCTGTGATGACAATTTGGGATTATTATTTTTTGTTGTTGTTGAACTATATTTAGAAATTAATCGTTGAAGTTGTTCTTGAATATTTTTAATTTGTGTGATGTTATGTTATGGTGCATGATGTTTGAATTTGTTATAATCTAAATATTGGAATTTGTTGATGTTGTTGTAAAGCCATTTGTTGGAAGGAATATAAATATAAAGGTTGCACTTAAACGATGTAAGATAAGATAAAATTTCAATTGTTGTCTAGTATATAACGCTCCGCGTTTCAGTTGTTTATTCGTGATTTAAATATCAGAAGAAGTTAAAAGTTTTCAAGCTTTTTCAATTTTTGTTGAAACTGAAAACATAAATGATTTTTATTAAAATACAATTATTATGAATCTTGGGATTGTGTTGCATGAACAAAATCACAACTTTTTGCATTGAAAACGTCAAGCCTAATAAATATCATTTAATTTTTGTAAAAGCCCAACATCAACATCCATAAGATTATTAAAAGACTGATTGATTACCAAAAAAAAAGACTGATTAAATAATCGAATTTTTTTTGACAATCACCAACTTTAAGTAATAATAAAAGGAATGGTAACTTAAAATTCTCTGTAAATGTCATAAATCACACCGTGAAAGGAATTTTAAAAGACTGATTAAAGAATCAGACATAACAACACACCATTAAGTGCCATTTATTAATCAATCAATTTCTCACCAAAACACAATTAAAATTTAAAAGAGAAAATTATAGATTAAACAAAAAAATGTTTAAAATTATAAAAATTTAAATATAGTTGATACAAAATAATTTAAATTTGGAAATTAAATGAAAAAATAAGAAATGACATATTTATACTTTAAAAGAAAATAAATTAAAATTTTAACTTAAAATATAATTCAAAAAAAAAATTCGTATGAGTATTTTCTTACAAAAAAGTAATATAAACGTTTTTAATTTATATGTATAACCAATTTAAAAAATATAAAATTTTAAATTAAAAGAGAAAAAACTTACTTTATAAAAAATATGTATAATTAATATAAAAGAATTCAAAATTTAAATTTTAATAAAATATTAAAAATTTACATATATGATTCTGTAAAAAATAAATTATTAAAATTTAATCAATAAAAAATGAATGACCATCCACCTCTTGCATCACAAAAAGATATTTGTCATTAAATATTTGTATTTGATATTTATGGTGATTTAAACCACGCAAAATGGGAAAAAAAATAACAGTGAAGTGTAAAAATATTCAAACATAAAAAAATTAAAAAATAAATAATTAAAGCCAACTTGGCAACACTTTAATTTGATCATAGCTGATTTGACATTTGCTTGATGAAAAAGAAGGCCACCTTGAATTGAAACTTCTATAAATAATCATGGGATAATTTCTCTACTTTTAAAAATTTCCCTCTATTAGCACATATAAATATGGGTTCACTTTTTCTACAGTCAATGTAGATAACTTATCTACAGTGAGTCCAAAACGACGTCGTTTTGAGGCAAAAATCAAGGTATTTTTGTAATTGTAATTTATTTTTTGGTTATAATAGTCTTTTTTATTATAATTTTTTAATTTTTCAACTCAAAACGACGTCGTTTTGGGAGCGAATGTAGATAACTTATCTACATTCACTTTAGACACATTAAGCCTATAAATATTTAGACTAAAAATTTATAAAATGCATAATTTACTTAAAAATTATTTAGATTCTCATAAAATATAATGATATCAGTAATAAATCATAGATTTGTTGAAGTATACCGTTTTCATGATCAATTTGCATTAGTAACTCCCACTATTTTCTCAATCGTAAATTGAAAGGCCATCTTTTAATTTTTCTACAAAATAAAAATAAAAGATAATGTAATAATTCCGTGAAGTTTACGATACCATTATTTCTATGGAAAATATAATCTATTTATTATAAGCACACGCACTAAACAACGCATGGAAGGAAGTATGCGTATTGTAATAATTGCATCCTTTTACAACGATACACGCATAGCCTAGGAAATGATGTTAATGAATGAATAAAGCTAGCAATGAAAAGATAACAATTAATATGAAAATAGAAATAGGGGATTATTGTGCAAAAGCCGAAGAGATAATTCAAAATATTTCGCTCAAAATTTGAAGAGGATACGAAAAATAAAAAGCGATAGAGAAATTGGCTAAGACCAAATGTATACGTATATAGCCTAACTTGACTTATTAATAATAATATTTATCATATTAATTAATAGAATATATATATATATATATATGACACACACACACACACGAAGATAGTGTTCTTCCCAAAAGTTATTAGGAGATAGCCGCTATCAAATGAAATAAAAGGGGAAATGCGCATTTACTCTCCATTTTGATTTTCTTCTCATTCCTTAAAAGTTGAAATCATAGAGGAACAAGATTTTTAATGCTAATTCTTCTGTGTATTTCCTCACTCTTTTGAAATTCGAATTCTGAATGGATTTCAAATTTTGGATTTCAATTTTAAATTTCAAATTGTAATGTTGGGAAAGGATTTGGAAATAAAAAAATTAAATAAATAATATTTTTTTTTTAAATCTAAATAAAAAATCAATAGAAAACTAAGTTAGTCATTTATAGTGGCAGACAACTCATTCAATGTCCCACTTATTTGTACATTGAAATTAATCAGCTCTTTTAA